GAACCCGATGGCCCCGATGCAGGTTCCCGATCTGTGTCCGTTCTCAAACTGTTCCGTGCATTTCCACAAAGGTTGTTACAACAATACATTTATACAAAATACAAAACAATACAAAAAAAATACAAAAAAAATACAAAATCATTCTTATTAGTTTTTTTATATGCCTATAAGGTTTTTTATTCATTTTAATTTCATTTCAGTTTTAGTTACTTTAGTACATCAAGTTAAACTAAATGAAAACGAGAAATATTACATGTTCCAAGAAAGTTTTCTTTATGCTTATTTTTTCCACACAACATTAATAATAATATAATTAATTAATTATTATACTAAAATACATCCGTGTTGTTTTCATATCATTCATATGCTGCTATAGTTTAATAAATATTTTGAATTGGTTTTTATTTATGCATTTTTTGTTTTGATTCAATTTTAGTAGGTTTTTTTTTTTATTATATATTTTTTTATTTATTTAGGTTTTAGTACATCAAATTAAACTAAATGAAAATGATAAATACAATACACTAAATAAAAAACAAATAGATAAACAGATAAAAATAAAGGTGCTTAAAAGCTTCTTCACAGCGATGCCACAGAAGAACCATTTTTGGTTCCACAAAGAAGCTTTCAGTCAAAGGTTCTTTAAAGAAGCATCTCTTTCTTAGCTTTTTATAATCTGACGAACCTTCTTTCGCCACAAAGAAGCTTTTGTGAAACAGAAAGGTTCTTCAGATGTTAAAGTTTCTTTATGGAACCATTTAGACAAAAAAGGTTCTTCTATGGCATCGTGAAGCACCTTTATTTTTAAGAGTGTACTTTTAAACAATATTTTAGTTTGTTTTATTTTACCTATAAGAAGCATGTTATACATTTGCTTTCATATTTTCTCTGCATATTTTGAGAATTTAAATTATGACAAAAATTCTGTAAAACCTGTAAATGAAAAAAAGCATGTATAAAAAGGCATGTCAGACATGCATCCCAACACATTCAACACTTTGTCAATCTGAAATCACATTATGAAACTAATACAATATTCTTGCATTTATTGTACTTGTATCAAACAGCCAGTTTGCCTGTCTGCCTACCTGATCAGTCCTTGTTTAAGCAGGATTGCATGATCACATTAATTCCCAAGATAAGCCCAGAAATCTCCCATCATGACCATAGACAGAGCTAACAGAGCTCAAGTATTGATATGATGGATCTGCACACGCATCTAGCTTTTATCCAGCCGTATAATAAGACAACACTCGCTCCTGTTTTCTGTGAATGGGGCGGGACGCTGTATTACTGTCTGATGTTTGTATCTGTCTGGATCGAGCAGTATAGGAGAACACACCCATCTGTGATTTAATAAGAACATGAAAAGCTCAGCTTCACTGTTAACTTGTTTCATGTTTTATGAATCATCTGATGTGGGCAATCCCTCTCTGTAACACACACACACACACACCCTGCTCATGTTCTGTCACGTTGAACTGTGCAATATCCACATGTGCTTACAGTGAATACAGACTTGTGGTTAAAGGGGTCATATGATGCGATTTCAATTGTTCCTTTCTCTTTGGAGTGTTAC